ACACCAAAAGCGAGTCTGGCTGAAAGAGTACTGCTCTGGGAGGTACCTTTAAAAAGAAAAAATTGAGATCAGGATCTCAAAGAGCTATCTGCATGCCCATGTTCACTGCAGCATCATTCACAACAGCCAAGGCATGGAAGCAGCCTGAGTGTCCATCAGCAGAAGGATGGATAAAGAAAATGTGGTATACACATATGATGGAATATTAATCAACCTTTAAAAAGAAGGAAATCCTTCCATTTGCAGCACATGGATGTAACCGGACAACATTATGCTGAGTGAAATAAGCCAGCCACAGAAAGATAAATACGGCATGATGCCACTTATATGAGGCTCTAAAACAGTCAGACTCACAGAAGCAGAGAGTTAAATGGGGGTTACAGGAGCCGAGGGAGAGGGAAATGGGAGTCATTATCCAACTGATAAAAAGTTCCAGTTTTGTAAGGTGAATACATTCTAGGGATGTAAGGCACAGCATGATGCCTGCAGCCAACCATATGGTATTGGTATTACGTATTTAAAATGTGGGAAGACAGCACAGCTTATGCTAATCTTCTTATACCAATAAAAAGGGACACAGGAGATCTTTAGAGGTGATGGGCATGTCTACAACGCTGACACTGGGGTGACGGTGACATGGGTGTGTGCGTGTGTACAAACTCATCGAATTGTACACATTCAATAGGTGCTACCGATAAAGCTATTTTTAAAAGAAAGAACCGAATGGAACATTCTCTCCATTTTTCTGCATTCCATGGCTGATGAGAAGGATGCGGGTCGCAAACGACTGGAAGGAAGACAAGGAGGGAAAAGTCCCTTTGCTGAGGACACTCGCTGCAGGCAGGGGGGTGGGGGGGAGCACACTCTCCACTTTCCGCTCCTTCCCTATCGCAGCCGCATTCCCCAAAGCACTCACCCGAGAGGGATCTGGGAAAGAGGCAAGACTCAAAGTCTCCCACTTTCAACCAGTACAGAAGGGAAGCAGGGGGCATTTCAGTGGGCCTGTAGCTCTCTTTTCTTTGCTTTTTTACTGGCAAGACTATGGGGTTAGTGAAGAAATTAGGGAAATTTGGAATCTGTCTACACTCCTAATCTCACAATGAGACATAAACATTTATTTTCCTTAAAAAAGAGAGAAAGCCATCTGAGCTCCTCTGAAGAATAAATCTCAACTGTATGATCTGTCACTTGGGGGCCCGGGGTGGTGACTGTATTGAAACAGATTAACAGAAGCAGGCCTAAGCGGTCTGTTCACTTGTAAAACACAGTTTCCAGCTGCAGTGAAAGATGCCCCCCAGGCGGGGCGTCCTGGGCTTCTGCCGGAAGGCAGGCGGGTCTGCTGTCCAGGACACTCACTCTGGGATGCATCCTGGGCCAAGCAGGCTTTGGTTTGTACAAGGCTGCCATCGTGTGGCCGCTGTGGGTATTTCCCCCGGAAAACTGCCCGGGAGAGAGGGGCCCACGCTCTCTGCAAAGCTGTTCAGAGTTCCCTGTATTCTGCCAGCAGCCAGAAAGAGAGCTCAAAAGTTAGATTAACAGGAAAATCGAGTTCACATGTGCCCTGAGTCTTCTCCAGGGCGTCTTCTGAGCCCTACCGTGGATCTGAACTACAGGCACACAGTGTATTAAGAGAGGAAAGACTTTCTCACCAGCCTGGACAATCAAAAGGTCCAAGATGTGAAGCATCCCCAAGCCCCAGCTGGTCTCCTTTGGGTCATCTCCAAGTCCAGCCTTAGTCTCAGAGTTGGACACAGCCCTGGGAGTCCCTGAAATCCTCTTTGTGTACAGCTGAGCCAACACAGAACAAGTGCTCAATAAACAGCAGTTTAAAGATTTTCACTGATGTCTGCTCAAGGCCCAGCTTACTCTCGAGCTGTAGCTGAGCAAGGCTGAGATTGACTGAACCCGCAGACACAAAGGACCTGAGAGCTACAGACACCTGTTAGCCTGGGGCAAGGCTCCTGCCTTGGCATAATAGTGCAGGCAGGATGATTGTTGGGGCTACGGGCGTTGTCCTGGCATCTCCATTGTTGATCAGCATCCTTGGCTCTACTCATTAGATTCGGTCCAAGGGCTCCTCACCCAACTGAGCCCAAGTGAAATGTCCTGACACGGCCGGATGTTGCCTGGGTGCAGATCTGAACCAGTGTCTCAGGGTTACTGGTTTCCTGTTACCACTGTGAACAAATGACCACAGTTTGTGGCCTACAACAGAATGATGTCACCATCACACAGTTCCGGAGGCCAGAAGTCCAAATAACCATGGTGTCAGCAGAGCTGTGTTCCTTCTTGAAGTTCTCAGGGAAAATCTGTTTCTTTGCTTTTCCCAGGTTCCAGCAGGTGCCTACACTCCTTGCCGTATGGCCCCATCCTCCAGATCCAAAACATGCAAGGGTGTCTTCCTCACACCACATCCCTCTGACAATTTCTTTTGCAGTCAAATCTCCCTTTGTCTCCCTCATTTAAGGACCTGTGCGATCACATTGGGCCCGCCCAGATAATCCAGGGTATCTCCCCATTTTGCTGACTCATCTTGGGGGGCCCTTATTCAGCCTGCCACATGGGACTACACATGTAATTGGCTCCAGTTGGCCCAGGAGTGTAAGTGAGTAACAGAGCCAGTGAACGGTAGGAACACGCCCTTGCTGGAATGGATGGCAGCATCCAGGTCCTAAAACCCTATGGGGCCCAAACAAATCTCATCTATGAACTCAGCTGCCAGTTCAGACCCTGAATCACCCCCTTCATCCTAACGACGAGAACCCTCAGATGCCCGGAAGGCAAGTGGCCACCCCAGGCCCCACACTCTTTCTAGTCCTGGGACATGAGTCCTGGTTACCCACCCACCCACAAAGGAAAACATTTCGAATGGATTTCAAGCTGTAAATCAGACTTTTGATTGCAAAGTGGTGGGTAGGCCCCACTGCAGTCTACACCCTACACCTCACAGGAGGCTTGAAGACTGAGAGTATCAGCCAAAGAGCCTGTTTAGCCTGAGGGATTTGCCGTGAGAACCACGTGGGGACCATGACTGCCAGCGGCTGACAGGACACGCTCAGTCTGGCTCTGTGCTAAGCGTGAGAGTCAGGACATCACGGAAGGAAACTGAAATGCCCAGTCAGTTGGCTCTAAAGTCGAAAAGGCCAAGCTTATTGGGCAGGGATGGGAGACAATGACAGAAACTCTCTGAGTAGATCTGGGGACTCCAGAGGAGAAAGGAGGTGTGAGCCATCCCACCCCGGAGCTCCCAGGGAAGGAAAGGTCCAAAAGAGCAGCCTGAACCCCATGCTACATGGGGGTGCCAGGGTCCACCCCACAGCAAAGCCATGACATCCCCAGCGGGACACAAATGATTTCCCATGTGTGCAGGAGCAGTGAGACATAGGTTCCAAGAAAACATGCATGTCGCAGCATCACCTCCTGGTGGAGAGGCAAGGAAGCATCAGCAGATGCCAGCGGGACTGCATGGCAGGAGTCCAGGAAGGCCACCAGCGAGTCCCTTGCCACCCACATAGCTGGGCACCTGAGACCAGGGACCTTGACCGGACAACTGTATGAGTGAGATGGTGCCAGCATGGGCGGGACAGACCCAGGCCAAGAGTATATGTCCTCTCCTTACCAAGCCCCCTGCCCTGTGCAAGCCCCAGAGCTGAGAACTGAAGAGGTGCAAAGGAAAATCCTCTTATGCCATCAGTCAGAATGTGCACTCAAAATACAGATGAAGCTAAGATCCCTTACAGGAAAATCACATGCTAATATTGCACGCCTGAGTGTGAACTACGCAGAGTCAGAGCTAAGTACAACAGTAACCCACGTGTCAGTGACACAGACATGATCCAGATCTTGCAGGAGAGGAAATGGGGTTCCTCGAGACAGCCTGGCCTCCTCACAGGGCAAGGCACCAACATGGAAGCTGCCAGATCTCCAAAAATAACCTGTCCAGCCCAGGCTGTGGTCCACAGTAAAAGTGAATGGGATAAAAAACAGTGCATAGATTGTTGAAGTCTGTTTTCTTCTACTCACATTGTATCAGAAGACTTCATGAAGGAAGCAGCATAGGATATTTTCAGGAAGTGGTCAGAAAACTCTGATAAGGGGCAGAGAGATTGGGGGGCAGGCAGAGCTACCCAGTTTGGCTTTCTAACATTGAAAGCTGCTGGCCCAGGAAAGAGAAGTGGCCAAGGAATTGCATGGCTTCTCAAAATGGAACTTAGACACCTAACTTCCAGATGCTTCCAGATCTCTCCCTAGAAAGAGAACTAAATTAAAATCATTTATATTGCTTCTCAGAGAAAATGGGGATTTGAGAAATCATCTGAGTTTTTTTGTCCCCTAAGTTTTTGCAAGGAGCACCAGATGGTGGCTATAATAATAATAAATAAATAAGATAAATAGCAACAAGTGTTGACTGGGATGGAAATTGTAACCTTTACACATTACTGCAGGGAATGTAAAATGGGAAAGTCACTTTGAAAAATAATTTGGCAATTCCTCAAAATATTAAACATAGGCTTAGCATATCACTCAGAAATTATACTCCTGGGTATTCTACCCAAGAGAACTGAAGACATATGCCCTCATAAAAAGTTGTACACAAATGTTCATAGCAGCATTACTGACAAAAGCCAAAAACTGAAATCAATCCTAAAGTCTACCTATTGGTAAATGGATAAAATGTGGTATGTCCATACATTGGAATACTATTCAGCCATAAAAAGGAATAAAGTATTGATCCATGCTACAATATGGATGAACCTTAAAATCATTATGCTAAATGAAAAGAGCCAGATGGAAATGACCACAGAATGTTTAATTCTTTGTGTGTGACATGCCCAGAATGGGCACATCTACACAGAGAATGTAGAATCATGGTGGCCCAGGGCTAGGTAGAAAGGGAGACACTGCAAATGGGTACCGGATCTCTTTTTGAGGTACTGACTGTAGTGGTGGTTGTAGAACTCTGTAAATAGACTGAAAACCATGGAATTTATGCCCTTTAAATGAAATGACTTTTATGGTTTGTAAATTATATCTCAACAGAGCTATTAAAAATAACAGGCAAGAACACACAGTCTGTGAATAATAAATCAAACAAAGTTGGCTTAGTAAAAACAACAAAACACACACACACAGACATTTCCCATACAAGCCACGGGGAAGGGAGCCAGGCACAGAGCCCCAGACTGGACATGGCCGTGCCGCTATACAGAAGGGGCTGCTCAGAACCCCAGCCTGTTCACTTCTAACTGTGCGGTTCATTTATATGTCCCTCAGTGAGCCGCATCATCACATCAGTGTTTCCTCCTTGGGAGGATTCTTGAACTGAACAGTAACTTCATCAAACCCCTGAGACACTTTTTTGTCTGTTCATTTCCACATAAACACGAAGCACCACTGCTCATCCCAAAAAGCGCAATATCCAAAGCGCAAGTGCGTAACACACATTAAAGGTGGTGCCCGACACCAAGGAGCTCCCTCTTGGCTTTAGAGTGCATTTGCTTTTAGGGTCTGCACCTCCTTCAGCAAGAGCCCACGTGTGCGGGGGCCCTTCATGGCTCCGTCTGGAGCTCTAATCTCTGTTTCTATTCAGTTGGACCCCTCCCTCTTTCTAATGGGTGTAAGAAAGACAACAACAGAACACTCCAGAAGAGACCCCTCCAGAGAGAACAGTTTCCTAGAGTCCAGTAACCACGCCTCACTTATCTCTATATCCCCAGGGCCCAGTGCAGACCCTAGTCCTGAGAAAACATGCTGAATGTTGTGCAACAAGATAGATGGGCGGAAATATCTGGATAGATGGGTGAACAGAGAGGTGGGTGGATGGGTGGATGGACAGATGTGGACAGATGCAAAGGCAGGTGGATGGGTGGATGGATGGACAGAGAGACGGACAGAAGGATAAGTAAATAGGTAACAGAGGTCCCAGCACGTGTGCCCTGCAGCCACTCGGGGAAGCAGCAGGTGAGTGTCATGCCAACGGTTCTCCCCAGACCCAGGCTCTGGAGGGGCTTTACTATATCCCTAAAAAGCTGAAACTGTTCTTCCACCCACCTCTCCAAAGTTTCACAGCAGAGGAACAGAAGGAAGGTGTCACCCCTCACTCCTGAGATAACCAGTTGCCGTTCTTCCCCCACACAGTTTCTGAGGGTCAGCTCTCCACTACCACTGGGGACACAGGGGACAGCTCAGCAGATCAGAGTGACTGGTGGAGGCTCGCGGAGTCAGAGCCAAGGGCCCAGAGCTTTGGGGCCCCGTGAAGGGGAAGATAGGGCAGCCGGTAAGGAAGCTGAGCTGAGGGATGTGTGGGAATAGGAATGAGGCTGATGGACAAGTTTTGCGTATGACAGAGGGAGGGAGAGAGCGTGGCTGTGTAGGTATTTGAGGAAGGGGAGGCCAATGTCACATTTGGGTCAGGCTGCCACCTGTATAGTCACCTTTACTGGCACAAGCCTTTGTACTCAAGCACCACTGCACTAGACACACCATTCCTTGGTCATCCCTTACAGATTAGGTGATTGACAGCTGATAATCCCGACACATGCCTGAGGTCCTCTCTGTAAGGTCTCTGCAGGTCACACAGTAGCAAGAAGCCCCCGGTGGGTACCAGGCAGCCCCGGCCCTTTCCCTCAGGGAGCTTCTGACATGGATGAAGCTTCTCCAGAAGAGTGTCTCAGAGATGCCTGCGGTCTCACCGTTAGAACAGGGCCGGCGCGGGCAGACGCGGTGCAGAACGAGATGCGCGGAGCCCTTTGCCGAGCTTCCTAAAGAGAGAAGTATCTCGGTGTGGTTCTGGTGGAAGTCGTCCTGAACACCAGAAACCAGACTAGGTCCAACGAAGGAGCTTCTCCAGCCCAGCTTGGGAGCACAATTACTTGCACCTGCACAGCACCTGGCCTTGGTGATGGAAGCACCTTTTCAGACTTTCTATCCCCTGAGCCCACACCACAAGGCCGAGGGAGGAGGGGTCTCTGCAGTCGGCTCCTCAAAGACAGCACAGCAAGGGCAGAAGCCAGCGGCCAGCCGCTCACGCATAGACTGCCACAGGCAGCTCTGGAAGCCATGTGCCCCGGGGCCCAGACAGGCCTCCGGACGAGGCTCAGCTGCGCCTCCGGCAGTTAGGAGCTGGCCCACGGGGGCTCCTGCCACGCCTCACCAGCCAGCTCAGCATCCCCCGCTGTCCGCTCGGCTTCCTTCCGCTCCAGCTCAGCCCCGCAGGCTCGCCCAAGCCGCCCCGCTGCCGCTTCCACTCCACCGTCCTGATCGTTCTTCGTCTTTTCCAGGTCTTCTCCGCGGATCTTCTCCTGAAATCAGAAAATAATCAGCGAAGCAATCCAGTTACTGCAGTCACAGGCCTGTCTGTCTCCTGGCCTGGCTGGGCTGCACAGCTGCTCAGATTCAGGACAGGGGAGCCAGGTCCAAACCCAGCACCACGGAGACACCATGTTCTGAACAGATGATGCTCTGAGTGCACACTGACGGATGGGAATATACTTGTTGATGAGAACTGGAGAGCCAGCCGGGAGGGCCCAGACACAAGACAGCCAGGAAGCACTCCATTAAAAGTTGGCATTCTCATGCTGGAATGTGCAGCTTCCCTGGACACATGCCCTTGGGCGCTGGACCACACTGGGCACCTCTTGCTGCCTCTAACAGCCCTCCAGTTTCAGAAGGAAAGTCAGGAGTCGGGGAAGAGGCAAAGCACAATTCTCTTCAGTTCAGTGGCCTGGTAGGATCAGAAGTTAGCACATCCTTCCATTGCAAACAACGGGAAAGGAGAGCCCCCCTCTGCCAGATGGCTAGAGCTAATAATGTCAGACACCGGGCAGCTTGTCTAAAATGATCCAGCACGTACTGGGATATTCTATGCTTTTGGCACTGCATCTTCTATCCCAGAACCTATTCCCCCAAATTAGCAGTATTCTCCACAAAGTGCAATTGTACGTCTTAAAGTTTACATCATTCTTGACTCCTTAGGTATCCAAGAGCAAAACAAAGGTCCTTCCACGCCAGAGAACGGATGTTATCACTGTTACCTCGTGTGGGCATGTGCCTGCCTTGGCTTCGAGAAAGGCTTCAGGAATCACATCACTTCAAAATCTTAAAAAGTACAGAATGACAGGCCACTAAGAAATACTCAGTAGCCATTACAGCCCATGGTTCTAGTCTACCGTCTCTCTAGGTTATATGATAACCTCGTGCCACACTCCATTTCCTAGCATCTGGGCTCAAGGGGAAAGAAAGAAAGAAGGAAAAGGAAAGAAGAGAAATTTGTCTGCATATTTGTTCTCCCTGAAAGATGCTGGACCGTGGCAGAATTTGAAATTCAGATTTTTCAATATTTCCTTAACAATGCAAGGTTGCGGCTAACTCCCATGTGTTCTCGGCTTAGTTCTGGCTTTGTTAGAGCTTGTCGAGCTTAGAGAAGAGGACCATTGAAAGTCTCATCACAAAGGCCTCTCCTCATGCCATGGCACAGGGATGCCAAGCATAGATAGATGAGCAGCCCACCGCTGTGGAGAGGCCCACAGCCAAGGTGTTTCAGAAACAGCCTTACGGGTTTAGACCACAGCTTCACTAAACGAGCACAGAATGATTGTCAAGAAAACAAGACATATTTCTAGAACAATACATTCATCACCATACCTTCTTGCCTTCTTCATTATTGGACTGTCTGGGTCCATCGTCTTGAGAAGCCTGCCTGTGACAGCTTACAGCCTCCTTGGTATTTCCTGGCTGAACTGCCCTTCCCAAACAAGAGAGTGGGATGAGCAGATGGAGGTGCCAAGAGGGTGGGAAAAAGATTAATAATACAGTGGGGACCCCTGCAAAGACACGGATCGCCACCACCCAATTCCATCCTCCTGACCTGTTACAGCGCCCCCTGGAGGACAAGGAAACCCGCTGAGTATGAGGAGGCGTGAAGCCGTGGTTCTGCGTCAGCATTTCTGAGCTGGAACTCTGACCTCTTCTGCCGCTTATTCAGACATCAAATGGAGTCAGGTTTTCAGTTCTATCCTAGGCTCTCCTCTTTGCTCACTGGCATTTTTACTCATAAGAGAGCCCATAATGAGAAAGTTCATTCAGCCTCACTGCCCCTCCTACCCACCTTACTAAATCAGTCCCAATTTGAAGAGATGACTTTCTTGTCCTACTGTGTACCCAAAATCGACATGGGGAGGTCTGTGCACTGGGGGGCATGGAGGGTGCCAGATCCCTCAGGGCAAAAATACAGTTTTCCATCTGAACTAAAAATGTAAGTGAGACATATTTTTAAAATAAAGAATAAATGTATCATTTAGTTTTATAAGTAAATCTTAAGGGTTATTTACAGAGGTAAATTTTAAGATTTATTTGTAAGATTTTATAAATGAGCAAGCTTTGGCTTCACAAAATTGAATAATAAGCATTTTAAAATACCAGCACACTTTAATTCTCTCTTAGAACTTGTATGTAATACAGTATTAGTTGCCTGTGTGCTCTTACTTGCAAAAATGTAAGCTCATAAGTGGGTTCAGAGGCTCAGTCAGCCTTAGTCACTGCTGCATACCTACACCCCAGACACTGCCTAACACTCAGACATCTTCCATTAACAGTAACCGAATGAATAGGAGCCAATACATGAATGAATGAAGACTGAATGAATGAGAGAATGAAGTAGACAATCCATTATCAATTTCCAACCTTTTCTGGTATGTACACTATGTTTTTATGTGTTATGGACTAAAGCATGCTAATAACTATCAAATGTTTACTTGCACGTTATTACTAATTAATGAAGGTTCAATAAGTTTTTTAATGAATGCACTAATCTGGAAACACAGGATAATAATCTGAGAAGTGGGGGGACTTGGTGATGGGGGGAGTCTAGTAAACATAATGTTCCTCATGTAATTGTAGATTAATGATACCAAAATAAAAAAATAAAATAAAATAAAAATAAATTTTAAAAAATAAAAAAAGAATCTGAGAAGCAACCACACAAGTAGATCTTTAAAGGTAAGTTACCAGTCACAAGTTACCATCCAGGACGCAGTAGACGACAGTGGCCGCTAGAGGGAGCCACACAACTTTCAAAGACAGCATTACATGGGGAAAAAACGCTGCCGGGCGGTTCTGCTCTCAACACTTCCCAAGCATAGCTCACCGCTATAAAATTGCTATTGCCACTGCACCATACAACGTCCGACTCACCAGAACAAGCTGGAACAAGGTTAGAGCTGCAACTTGCAAAGCATCAGGCTTTTGGAAAAATGACCCCACTTCTCAGCTCAAATATTTCACATCTCCTTCTGTACACTCTGCTTTAAAAATTATACGTAAACAAGAAAATTGTTTTCCGTGTGGATGAAAACTGAATCTATTAAAAATTCACCTGAAAAGAGAGCAAAACTATAACGTAAAGAATGAAAACATAAATTTTTAAAGCTGTGTGCAATTATTTCCTGCCTCCAGCAACATTTTTGTGAAAAGAACATTCCTCTGTTGACGTATTCAATTTCATCTCCTCCAGTAAAGAAATTTAAGGCATGTGCAGGCTAACTGGGAAATCACATCAGATAGAATTATGACCCTATTGGTCAAGCTTCAAAGACTTCATAGGCAAGTGTAGGAAGAAAAAAAGTTCCCACAAACTCCTCTCAAAAGGTCTGAATAACCCTGTAAATATTTTCAGGGCCATTATAAGCCACAGATGTTATCAACAGGCAGGATCATGCAAACTTTAAAAGACCTAGTCCCCAAATGATGCTGCTTTGTTCAAAAATAGATTTCAAAATATTTGAAAGGAGCACAAGTTAATTTCCCTTTGGAATGTTATAAAACGGCCCTGCCTTGCTTAGCATGTGAAAAGCAGTTAGCTCCACAGGGCTCCTTACTTACATCTATACTACAGCACATGAAATTGTAGGATGTGAACAGTCAGAAATAAAGAGACAAAAGATAAAACTTGAAAATATAGAACAATTCCAGAAAGCAACTCTAAGAATAACCAGCTAATTAGAAACTAAAATGAATTGGCCTTGTGAGATTTCCAAGGAAGAGAAGATTCCAGAATCTGCACTGTTTGGTGACCTGTGAGGAAAACCAAACAGGCTAACACTTTCTGGTTTCCGTGAAGGGAGAAACAGACAAGAAACTGAGAAACTAGAAGCATCTGGGATAATCTGTGGTTACATGGCGGCCCCCACTCGCCAACCTGGAGAAAAAAAACCCTGAAATGTCAGCACTAACCGACAAAATTGTTACAAGATGAAGCTGGTTGGCTGAAAGCCTTCCTGAGTGAATTAAAATCCTGACTGCTGGCCCCGGGGGAGAGAGAAGGTGCGGGTGAAACCGGGAAGTAGCCATGATTTATACAGGAATTGAAAAGACCATAATTTGGAACTTAAAAAAAAAAAAGTGTATAGTTTTAGCCATCTAATTATATCCGAATTATAATGATGACCCTTCTCCCTTCAAGGGACTCGAGCATGATTCTGGAACATTCTCAGGAAAGGTTTCCTCATGTGTTGTTTTAAAGAGAGAGTTGGTGAATCTCAGAGTGAGTTAGAAGTGACATATCTGGCATCTGACTTGCAGCTCGGTTTCCACCGACCAGACCACACCAACTCTCAGCTCATGAAATAACCCCCAGTGGAATTCTCCTGGAGGAAACCATCTTCCCAATTATGCAAAAACATCTTCCCTGCTTACCCCCTCCAGCCTGTGCAGTTTCCACATTATTTCCACATTCTGATAGGCAAGTCTTTTTTTTTGCTCCCCCCATTTGCAGCCAAGGAACAGCAACATCCAAGACACAAAGGCCGTGTCCACGTGGGAGCTGCAGGCTCATTTGTGAAGCTCCTCAATAAACCTGCACGGCTGGTCGGTGCGATGCACAGGGATCTGGGCTGGCTTCCCTTCATTTCTAACTGACGCCACGGGGCAAGTCGCATAACCGCCTCATTAGGATCACAGTCACAGCCCTGCCACGGCCTCCTTCCTCGACACCTGGTCACCCCATTAATATCTGTACAGATCCATTAAGCCTTCCAGCTGAAAGGCACCATAAAAGCAGAACCTATCACTATTATCATCAATAAACTCCAAGGCACTCTTCCCTTGTACGGCCTAAGGTGACTCAGTTACCCACAGGAAAAGAAAGGCCCCACCTCGACCCTAATAAGCTACCTGCAGCCTCAGAAATGGCATTTGACACTGACAGGAGCTTCAATGCCAGGAGCGAAGAAAAGCCGCTGCTTTCACTTTGGCAGTAAATTTACCCTGTGAGAGCCTCCTAGCCTCCTGCTCACACAGTACCTGTAGCTGGAAGGGCTCTGCTGAGCCAGCCCAGCCCCCAGGCCACACCCTCAGCACCGAGCACAGGCAGGGCCTCTGCTGGGCCATCATCCCCTAACTTAGGAGGGGCGGGAGGAACACGGTACAAAAGCAACTTAGAGATCCAGGGACACGTGTGTCTCCTGCCCTGCGCTCCCCTCTGGCTACTTAAAGGTCTTCCCACTTCCTGCTTCCCTTGGGACTGCTGCCTGTTCTCATGGCTGGCAAACCCCTTCACCAAAACCCTGCCTGCAAACCCACCCAGGTGCTGTCTGTCACAGCCCCAAATTGAAGACAGCGTGTGTCTCTGTAACAGCAGCTGCCCTAATAAACACCAGCATCACATGGATGCCAACTCAAGGATAAGGACGAGGTGCTCGTTTGCAGAGCACTGTCTGCGCCAAGCTGACGGTTAGGCGTGCGTGTCGTCTCCCCAAAGGAGTGGGGACAGGCCACTTGCTCTTCACAGTAAACCCTGTGTGCCTTGAATTTTTAACTAGATGCACACATTGTCTATTTAAAATAATGTTTTCAACTGATTTTCTGCTAGACAGAGGAAAGTTATCTTTAATGATCTAATTGTAAGCAGGGAGCCCCTTAGTCCCTGGGAGCTTCTGATTCAGCTAAATTGGGGACATCTTGTATAAGAAGGTTTAGAAGGTGAGGTTCAACCAGGAAGGGACAGTAGGAGGAGGACAAGCTGCCAGCACCCAGGCCTCGCCCCCTGCTGTGGGCCTGCTGCACCGCCAAGACATCGTAATGCCTGCAGGGCCCCACTTGATGCATGTGGACCAGCTTACGCTTCGGTGACCCACCCCAGGGATAAGGAGGCCACGGTGCGCTTTCTGCACTCAACTCACAGTCTGAAAGTCTTGACTGATGAGGCTGAACTTTCAGCCAGATGCTGTCTCGCTGGCCCCAGGCTCCTGGGGGCTCCACCTCCCACAGGCGCCCCCGCTCCTCCGGATGCGCCCCCAGGAACTTCCTGCAGACTGGGAGGAAGACGTGAGTCAGGGGGTCAGGCCCGTGGGGCCCCGTGCACAGCGGCCAGCCTTCCCTGGCGCCCTCAGGCTCGGCCACTTCTGGCGCTTCCTGCAGCCCACCCGCCACCCCAGCCCAGCTCTCTGCTTGGATCCATATTCCACGCAACCCACGTTATCACCTCCTCAGCTGCCCAGCTTTCATCCATCCCACTTAGTCTGCTTGGGTGGCCATGACAAGCACAGGCTGTTGCCTTGAACAGCATATCTGGAAGCTGGGAGTCCAGGATCAAGGTGATGGCAGAGTTGTTCTCTTCCAGAGCCTCTCTCCCTAGGTGGCCGCACACAGCCTTCCCTCTGTACCTGTCTGTGTCCTAATTTTTTCTTGTAAGGACCTCTTCTTACCAGTCCCACTGGACCAGGGCTCCACCCTTAAGCCCTCCTTTAACCTTATCTCCACAGTCACACTGGAGGTTTGGGCTTCAACATAAGGATTTGGAGGGGGTTCCCAGTTCAGCCTATAGCATCATCTCCGTAGACACTGCCCTTCCTCTGAGCCTCCCCAGCCCTCTTCCCCCACAGAATCTCGCCGGTCATCCTCAGACACCTGGATTCCAGAGACCCCTCAGGTCTGTAGACTTTCCTGCCCACATTCACAGGGTGAGTGAGTATTTCCTGGCAGCAGTGCCTGGACTGCAGCTGAATGGGAAGCTGCTCCTGGCCCAGGGGTCCATGGGGCCCCATCAGGCCCTCGCCTATTATTCTGGGTCTGGGGCAGCAGCACAGAGCATAGCACGGAGTGTTCAGAAGGTGTAAACCCAGCTAGCAACATGCTAGAGAGAGAATGTTCTGCTCTTCTGTCTTGACAAATATAACTTCATAACAACAGGGAAAGCCAGTTTCAAATTTAGAATTCTTGGACTTCTTGAAGTTTTGCCCCAGTATGTGGCAAAATCAAGAGAAGCTGGGCCCCCACTGGCAGCCCACGGGGTTCTTCTCCCATCCCAGTTCCCCCGCACTGTAAGGGGCCCTGTGTACACTGGACACACCTGCACACGCCATCCACAGCCAACAGCCATTGCTGGGGTCTGAGGATACGCAAACTGGTGGCGTGGTCTGGGGCACAGATCCAGGGCCACTCAAGCCCTCGGTGGCCCCTGGCAGTAACCTTACGGAGGACTGGCCTGCACTGAGGTGGGTTCACCCTCTTGGGCACACAGATTCCTCAGCCCATGCCAGAATTGCGGCTACAGGGGGAGTCTGAAGCTTGGGGCCCTGGGCAGAAGTCCCTCTTGTCCATTCCAAGGTCCACTCAGTGAAAGCTGGTCTGGGAAGGACGCAGGTGGCACCCCTGGGCTCGGCCCTGACTCTCGAGCTGCTGCTCACCCACGTATCCGGACACAGTCAAGGGACATAAAAGCTTGAGGCCTCAACCCCTTGGCCAGGTGGCTGACACCCTGAGACAACAGTGTGATTCAGCATCAGCACCTTCAGATCTCTCTCTGCCAGGTGGAGACAGAGAGGGACCGCGACAGACAGAATATGGGTGTGGAGAGAGAACCAGCTGCCAGGGTTCTGGAACTTTCCAACTCCTCAAAGTGAGCAACATGGTGCAGGAAGCCTTAAGCACCCTTTGCAGAAATCCAAGGATCTTCAGAGTTTAATTACAAACTAAGAGTTTGAAAATACGAAGAAATGACTAAACCCATTTTGAGAAAAACGTTTTCACCTTCTTTTATGACATCAGAGCAGCAGAAGTTTCCTCATCTTTCCTACCTTTTCTCTCCTATCTGTTTTTCTCCCCATACCATAAGGACTGGAACCTCAATATACAGATCCAAAAACATCTGCACAAAAAAGGGAGGCAGGGCCCAGTGTGGGGCAGGTGTGTTTCATGGGGAAGGGGATCCTGGGCAGATGCTCACCAGCATCTCCCACCTGCATTGATCTAGGGCATAACATTTAACATCAGAGCTTTCTGAACTTCCTCTGGCAAACATGCACAAGAATTTCTCTTCCAGATGTGTAAGGGGATGGTGATAGTCCATTCTGTGTGTCAGTGAGACTGGTCCAGGGGTGCCCAGATACCTGGTCCAACATTATTTTGGGTATGTCTGTGAAGGTATTTTTGGATGAGATGAACATTTGAACCAGTAGACTGAGTAAAGCAGATTGTTCTCCCTAATGTGGGTGGGCCTCATCCAATCAGTTGAAGACCTGAATATAGAATAAAAAGGCCAACCCCTTCCTACATGTAAGAGGGAACTCCTCTCACCTGATGGATTCAGCTGGGACACTGGCCTTTGCCTGCCTTTGGACTTGAACCAAGACATCAGCTTTGCTTCAGGCTCAAGCCCATCAGCATTTGGACTGGAACTATACCATCAGTTCTGCTGAGTCTCCAGCTGGCTGACTGCAGATCACAGGACATCTCAGTCTCTGCATTGTGTGAGCCAACTCCTTATAATAAATCTCTGCTCTCTGGATATTGGTTTTGTTTCTCTGGAGAATCCTGACTGGGTCAGGGTCTTGCTAAGACAAGAACAGAAGTCGGGGGCATCTGTCTTCTACAGTAAGAGCTGCCAAGGTGCTCAGGGGCTCGGGGCATTCAGAGGTTGCCTTTGCACCCCAGCTGCCTTCCCTCCAGCTCCTGCACGCCTCTGAGGCATCTGGTTAAAAGGGCAATGTGATAAACTACAGCCTCCAGTGAGAGAGTGAAGCCGGCAGCAGTCGGAAGCATAGCGCCAGCTTTCTGGACTCAACTTCTCTCCAACGTTGTGTTGATTTATTTTTTTATTATTTTTTAATCCAATTATTTCTCAGGCTGGGAAAAGCTCGCCCCTTGTGATCAAGCACAAAGTCTTGTTTGTGCTGAAGCAAAGAGAGATTTCTCAGGAGGAAGAGAAGAGCCACGTGCACATCACAGTGCTGAGGGCTACAGGGAAGCTCCCTCCCCAGAATCACCAAAATGCACAGGTTATTCATCTCCGTCCCAGATGCTCCTGACACAGGTGCCTTTACCTTGGTACATAGCAGGAGAAACTGGCCAACTGACCCCCAGCGCCTCGTCCTCCTGGAATGTCTCACAGAAGTCCTGCAGCATGGCCGTGCCCAGGCCTTGGCGACGGTATCTCCTCCTGATGAAAACGGTGTCAAAGACGGGCAGCAGGTAGCACACACCCACACCGTCACCACACAGGCTGCCTGCAGGGAAGCAAGAGGCATGCACTGTCCCCTGGGCTTGTGCTAACCTGCCAGTCCCTGTTACCACGTGGAAGCAGGGCCAGCTTCCCAAACTAAATCCGGGAGACACGAGAGCGTGTCTTTCCAAACCACCAGTCCTTCAGCTGAGAGCTCAGCCCCGTGTCATAAAGTGCTATGGGTGTGGCCACTAGACTATTGCACTGAAATGAAAAGCGAATCCAGGTGGCTGTGCAGAGCAAGGCCATTCGTGCACCCAGACTCCTCAGATCCCTCCCTCACTGTGCAGTTCACAGACCCTTGAAGCCAAAGGAGAGCGAGCATCTGGGCAAAGTTGAAGTTCTGTCTAAACACATCTCTAGGGCAGGGACTTGTTTCAGTAACTCTAACAAGGGCTCATGGTGTCCAATTAGGGTGAAGTGCATTTACCCCAAAGAGACTAAGATCTGTTTCCCATGAGCATCCGTGGCCTTGCTATAGCAGAGCAAGAGAGATGCCAGCTGGCAGTCCTCCCACTGGTCCACCCTGAACGAGCACCAACACCAGCAGAGATGCTATTTCTGCCATGGGAACTTGGGCTTGCAGACAGCCACCTCTGTTGTCACCCTAACCAAAATTTGCCACACAGAGCTGACTACAGAACCATCTTCACCCCAAACGGCACAGGTGCCTGGGCCCTGGGTGCAGTGTAGTCCAGGAAAATAAACATGTAGCATATTCAGCTTCTACTGGAAGAGGAAGTATTTTCCCCATCAAGATTCAGAAGGTGGGTGATTTCCCAAACAAACAAACAAAAAGATGATTCCAATTCTAAGCAGCCAAACTGGACTGCAGAGATACAAACTCCTGCAGTGAACTATGTGCAGCAATAGCCACAATTACTCCCTTTCCCACATCCACACCCCTTTGCATGCGAATTTGAAGTTCCTCGCATCAAGAGCAGGGGTCTTTTCCCTTGCCTTCCACCTGGCTGCCCTGGTGACTCACTAGGAGGCTGGTGAAAGCGCACCAATTCTGAGCTGAGGCCTTGGAGGCTCCAGGGCCTCTCTAGTCTCCCTCAGATCCCTGCCACTCACCACAAGATCAAACCCCTGAGCCAGGCACCCCTGTGGTCCTAGCCAACATCGAGCAAGCCCAAGAAACAGCGCCACCTACCTGATGGGTAGGTGACAACAGACACGTAAGCCAGCCTAGGCTAGACTGGAAAACCACCCAGCTGAGCCCCACCCAAAGTGCCAGCCTAAAGAATGGTGAACTAAATAGTTGGTTTTGTGCCAAAATTGAATGAATAAATAAATAATCCATGACCAACAGGTAACAAACTCACTTGAGATGCTTATTATAAAATATGTGGATTTCACCCTCAATATGCCTGAAATGACAGGACCAACTGGACTGGAATGGCGCGACATTCCCCAAATGGCGAGGTCTTCCAAAGCTGAGGTTTAAAATTAAAAAAAGATATGATTCCATTAACAAGAGCATTAAAAAGAGGTAAATACCTAGGAATATATTTAATAAGAGAAGCACAAGCCTTGAATATGGAAAACTGAAATGCTGTTGAGGGAAGTTAGAGAGAGGATCTAAATAAAGGAAGAGAAATTCCATGTTCACGAACTGACTTAATACTGTTAAGATGGCAATTCTTCCCAAACTGATCTGTAAATGCAACACTAGCCCTGAAAAAAAAAAATCCCACCAGGTGTTTTTGTGGAAATTGATAAGCGGATTCTGAAGTTTATGTGAGATGCAAAGTCTCCAGAACAAGCAAAACAGTTTCAAAAAAGGAGCAAAGTTGGAAGTTTCACACAACACAATTCCAAAGCTTCTTACAAAATCAAGGTAATCAGCGCAGGCATACAGACCAATGGAACAAAATTTAGAGCCAGAAATAAACTCTCATGCTTTGAATTTCAACTAGAGTGCCAAGGCAATTCAGTGGAGAAAAGACGATCTCTTCAACGAAGATAAAGAGTGACTGGACATCCATAGCAACAATTTTAAAAGAATAAGAAGCTGCAACAGAATAGAGCCTAGAATGAGACCTACACAAATATAGTCAACTGACCTTTGACAAAGGAACAAAGCAAACTTAATGGGTAAAGGACAGTCTTTCAACAAATGGTGTTGGAACAGCTGTATATCCTCATGCAAAAAAATGAGTTTAGACACAGACCTTTAACCCTACACAAAATTTAACTAAAAATGGATTATAGACATAATGTAAAATGCACAACTGCCAAACTCGTGGAAGATGACACAGGAGAAATTCTAGATGACCTTGGGTTTAGTGATAAATTTTTACATACAGCAAAGGCACGATCCCTGAAAGAAAAAATTGATAAGCTGAATTTCATTAAAATGTTCTGTTCTGTGAAAGACACTATCAAGAGAATGAGAAGACAAGCCACAAACTAGGAAAAAAATATTTGCAAAAGACATAATGGAGAAAGGACTGTTACCCAAAATATACAAAGAATTCTTAAAACTCAACAGTAAGAAAACAAAATAACTTGATTGAAAAGTGGGCCAGACTTTAACAGATACCTCAACAAATAAGCTATACAGAGGGCAAATAAGCATGTCAAAAAATGCTCCACAGTATGTGTCATCAGGTAAAAAAGCAAATTAAACAACAATGAGATATCACCAAACACCTATGAGAATAACCAAAATCCAGAACACTGTCTACACCAAATGCTGGCAATGATAATGGAGCAATAGGAACTCCCATTCATTGTTGGTAAGAATTCAAGTTAGTATAGCAAATCTGAATGATAGTTTGGTGGGTTCCTATTAAAACTGAACATACTCTTACCATACAACCCATCAATTGTGCTGCTTGATATTTACCAAAAGGAGCTGAAAAATTATGTCCACTCAAACTTTTCCTGCATACAAGTTGGACACTTACCTCACATTATATGTAAAAATTAATTCAAGATAGATCTAAACATGAGAGTTAAAATCATATGTTTTTAGAAGAAAGCATAGAAGAAAATCTTCACAACCTTGGATTAGGCAGAGTTCTTAGAAAACCAAAAACATAATCAATTGACAAATCTAACTTCATCAAAACTAACTTTTGTGCTCCAAAAGACACCCTAAGACAATGAAAAGCCAAGCCAGACTGTAAGAAAATGTTTACAAATCACATTTCTGATAAAAGATATATCCAGAATACATAAAGAACTCTGATCATTCAATAAAAAGAAAACCAATTAAAAACAGACACATTATCTGAACAAACATTTCTTCAAAGAAGACCTACAAATGATTAAAAATCAATGAAAATATACTCAACATCATTAGTCATTGCGAAAGCAGATTAAAACCACAATGAAAGGCTACTTTTGACCTACTAAAATGGCTACTATCACAAAGACAAGCAGTAATAAATGTTGACAAAATGTGGAGAAATTGAAAGTAAATGAAATTAAAATACACTGCTGATGTGAATGTGTAATGGCACAGCCACTTTATCAAATAATTTGGCAGTTTCTTAAAAAGTTAAAACATGGGAGATGGGATTAAAGATGGCGGCATGAGAGGAGAGACAGAGGCTTCCTCCTAAAACTGGATACAATTAAAAAATTTAATTGGTGCAACTAATCCTGAGAGAGCAACAGGAAAGCGGACGGCACCAGACTGCACACACCTGGAGAAAAGAGCAGACCTCAGCGAAGGGGGTAACGTACCGGAGCTGTGGCTCTGCAGGACCCGAGCCCCTCCCCCTCCCCAGCTCACCCGCAGGAGGAAGACAAACGGAGTAGGGAGGGTGGAAGGCCTGGGACTGCTGAATACCCAGCTCTGGAGATCTGCGCTGGGAGCACAAATCTACATCTCATGGTGCTTTCATGAGACTCGCATGACTACCGGGTTGGAAAGTTAATACAGGCAGAGTTCCTGGGGAGACTGGGATTCCGGCTGCTTGTGGGAAGCAGGGATCCATATCTGGCTGCTCTGGGACAAAAGCTTATACCTGTGTGACCGGCCCACTGGCTCAGGCAGTGGAGACACACAGCAGCCAGGAGGTGGGGAACAGCTCTTTCCTACCCCCAGGCACCAGTACCGCTCCCCTGTGACCCCCGATATTGCTTCAGGGGCTCAGCAGCTCCAGAATAGAGCTTCTGGACACTAGAGGGCATATACAAACATGAAACACCAAAGGAACCTTGTTCATAGTAAAATTGTTAATACAACTCCCGAGAAAGATTTAAATGATATGGACCTCATGACTCTTCCTGAAAGGGAGTTCAAAATAAAAATAATCAACATCCTAATGGAGGTACAGAAAGACATCCAAGAACTCAGGAAGGAATTCAGGTCGGAGATCCAATCGTTAAAAAACACGATGGAGGGTATTAAAAGCAGGTTGGATACGGTGGAGGAGACAATAAATGAAATAGAAACTAGAAAAGAGGAATACAAAGAAGCTGAGGCACAGAGAGAAAAGGATCTCTAAAAATGAAAGAATATTGAGAGAACTGTGTGACCAATCCAAGTAGAACAATATTCGCATTATAGGGGTACCAGAAGAAGAAGAGAGAGAGAAAGGGATAGAAAGTGTCTTTGAGGAGGTAGTTGCTGAAAACTTCCCCAATCTGGGGAAGGACATAGTCTGTCAGGCCATGGAGATCCACAGATCCCCCAACACAAGGGATCCAAGGAAGACAACAGCAAGACACATAGTAATTAAAATG